GAACACCTTTTTGCCAAGTTTGGACCTTTAATGCACATGTAATGTTTTAAGATAATGTGCTTTAGTAGATCTTGTTGGTTCCTCCAAATCCAAAAGAAGTATTTTTCTTACATGTTGGTAACATGATTGCCACTTTCTGCCAGCACACATATCTACACTATATGGTTTAAAAAAAAACAAGAAGCAACGTGTACTTTGGCATTCCCTAACCAAGATATTAAACTAAAACACCGTGTGGGATACTAAAATACCCCGCACGAGTACTGGGAATTAATTTTTTCGCTAGAGTTTCCAATTTTAACTTCTTAACTATCTTGTAACGTTTTTAGTTCGTTACATGTCTTTTTTATATATAATATATGATGTCTGGCGTATCATCACCGGATTCCCTATCGTTCAGGCCGGATAATTTATTTGACGCGCTTGGCGTAATTTTTACGTTCTCTAGTCCACAACCCTGTTATCGTTTGGCTGCTCGGTGGAGACGCTGTCAACATCGCTTCAAGATTTCGCTCTCCGCGCTTAACCTCACTTTTTGGTTTGGCCGGTTTGCGGCACGGTTGCAAACCCTGCTGTTAGAAATGGTAATTTAAATCTTGCTGCAAAATCTGAATCAGCTGCCATTTCGAAGCTACACGTAAAGATGAGATATTATCTTTATTAGATTCGTTATTATTGTTGAATATTTTTAGGGTAGAGTTTTGGACTAACCCATCTTAACTCGTATTTGTATTTTGCTGGCACATTGGTGTTCTTTTGCTTTTGTCCTCCAGAATGTTACATGGAAGAAAGGACAGTTTCTTTGTTTGTTATTGAGCCCTCGGAAGTAATTCGATTAGGTTTATTTTGCTTATTAGATCTTGTTTGGTTTTAAACAAGAGTTTCGTATTTTTAGGGTCCAAGGTTATGGTTCAAGTTACGGACTATTTCCAAGTTACGGACATTATCCAAGGTACGTACAGTATCCAAGGTACGGGCATTATCCAAGGTCCTAGTAGTGTTCCAAGGTACGGGTAGTGTTCCTATGTACAGATGTCCTGTGGACGAGTGTTCCATGTAGGGATGGTTTATCTTATGTATAGAGTGCCCCAGCGTGGATGTGGCGTAGGCTCCATGCTGCTTCGATCCTGTTTTTAAGCCTAGTTGATAGTTACGGCTGTATTAGTTCATGGTGTCCTCAGTCTGGCCCCTTTTGTTGTATTGGCTAACAACAAAGCCGAGAGACAGTGCAGAGATGCAAGCCCACCTCACGCTGTACTGTTTGAACCAGGATTGCCTTAAGAACCAACAGCTAAGTTTAGATTTAAGTTCTGGTTTTTATGGTTTATATTTTCAGTCTTAAAATAATAACATACATCTTATTGTACAGACTTTACGTTTAGTGGTTAACTTCCTTATGTCTGTTTAGTATTTAAAATATGATTTAGTTCTTAGGTTTCATTACGAACATATCTTGTTATAGTATTACTTTCTCTATATATCTATTGCGTGATTTTAAAGATGAATAACCGAACAGATTCTAGAATCTACGCTTACAAGATCTCAGATTTGATATCGTATAAAATATATATAACAAATTAATTAAAGCAATGATACCTTTTTTATATATTTTCTATAGCTTTATCTATATTGTACTTTTCCATCGAGTTTCATTGAACATATTTAATATACGTAACTTTCTTTGACATAGAATCACTATGATTATTAAAATATTACAATGTTATTTACCATCACAGTCCATCTTGAATAAATATAGTCATTAGTTTTAAGTAATATACAACTGCGTTTTCTTTCTCTGTACATGCCTGGCGCCCAATATCTATATTCTTTTGTTTATTGTTATTAGTTAGTTTTCTTTCCAGTGAAATATCATATCCACGACTGCTCTCTGATGAAAAGCTGCCGTTCGCAGTGGTAGTGGTTTAAAAAACGCTATAATCTTAATTAATATTATTAAAAACATTGAAATAATAGGAATATTTTACCAATTTACCTTTGCACTTCTGAACTAAAATGATTCTAATGTTTTTCATGGTAATTTCCTTAACTAAATTAATAATAAAAATCAACAGAAAATATACATCTTGTTTTCATCTGGCCGATTTAATACTAAAAAACGAATTTATTCATCAGCTCTCAAAAAAAGTCTTACCGACTGGAACATAATTCTCTTGTATATACAGGGTCCGGCAATGGTGCGTCGGGCATCTGAAGCTCCTATAATAAAAAAAAACTTAGGAATTTTGTTTAAGTGCCAACCTAAATTATGTATTAGAATGTATGGCTCTTTCAACGGTAAAATAACAGATAAAAATCGTGATAATTTTGATAAAAAATTACTGTTGGAAAACCCATACGTAATATAATATCACCAATATCCGCCAAACTTTAAAAATTTGAAAATAATTTAAAAACAAAAAATGTTTATTTTTTAATTCTCCATCTAACAAAGCAATAATATACAGAGTGTTCCATTTAAAAAAAATTAACAAAATCTATTTTGTAGTTTAGAAAATTTGTCATAGAATTTTGAACATCCTGTATAGTTTAAGATTACGATATTTATAACAAAGTAAGTACAGACCAACTATAGTAAATACCTAGTATATTAGGTAGTAGATAGATTGCCGAACCCTGTAGATAAAGAAAATATAACCTCCAAAATGTATCTTTTGTCGGTTTATTTTCTTTAAAAAATGAACTGTATACTGATATATTTTTCCTGAAGATTCTGACCACGAGAACTATAATTTATTTCCTTCGCTAGGGAATTGCTAGGGCTCAAAAGTTGGCTTCTGGGTCATCTATAAAGGTAATGACGTAGTGACAACTAGCTGTTCGAGTGGAATATGAAGAATCGAGCGACGAAAAGGTCTGAATATTTATTTTCCAGCTTTAGATCGACCAAAATGTATTTTAATGGGACGATTTTTCACGGCAGTAGAAAAAAGTTGAAAATAAGACTTTTTATTTGGTATTTTCTGTATTCTTCTAAGATAGTTTGATGTTAGAATGAAAATTTAATATTTTTTCCGTCGCTCTCTCAGAAGTCGAGTCAGAATGGTAAAACGAGTAAGTCTCATTTTTTATATCCAACTTAATAACTTTTATATGACGATTGTATAACGAAAAAAAAAATGCAATAAAGGAAACTTTCACAGGGTCATAATAATTAAAAATAGAATCTTTAATATGAAAGATTATCCATTATTCAATTAGATTCCATTATTCAATTAAATTCTTTAAACACGAGTTTAAAACAAAAAGTATAGATTATTTTTGCGAATATAAGTAAACGGTTTAGATCATTATAATAGATAGCCTAAACCAGTGGCTGATACAGAGGGGGCCCCCATAAATATATAGATTGGGTTAAATATTAGCCTTTTGGGTTAAAAATGACGCTCTAAAAAGTATATTCTACATTACTTTTTATTTGGCCCCCCCCTAAAATAAATTCCTTTATCCGCCACTGGTCTAAACCGTTTAGATGATTCATGAAAGTGATGATTCCTCAAGCTTTATAGCTCATCAGTGCTACTACTTAATGTATCTTGTCTTGTGTGTCCAGTGATTCTTTTAGTCCAGCTAAAAATGATTTTAAAGCTAATTCGTTATATAAAGTTCTTTTAATCGACTTTGCAGAAGAAAGGTCGTCGCAAATGCCAATACAAGAAAAAAACAAATTTAAAATATGAAGAATGCTAACATAAAACTGTTCTGGCTTTTCGTTTTGCAAAAAATCTTTATTTAGACAGGCTACTTCCCATCTCTCAGCAAAATTTCTACGCAAGACATCTTTTATTTGGTCCCAGTTAGTTACTTTATGAATGTTAATTATCAATTTGACATTACCAATGTCCTAGGTTATGAGCAATATTAAATAAAATCAAAATCTCCTCATGTGTCAAACTTTTATCCGACAAATAAAGCGCTATTTGGCAGTTCAGGTCCCAAATAGGATATCTGACGGATAAGGTTATTTTATCTAATAGATATTGGTATCTAGAGGTGAAGATGAAGACGTTTTTCTGCTATCCATCAAATAAAATATATCTGGCAGATTATAACGCGCTATCTATACCTGAAAACACCGGGGGTTAGAGTCTTAGGCGTTAAATTTAAACTAATTAAATTGGTAATTACTTGATCTATATCTGATATTAATGAATTACACCTACTGTAAGGCGAGTTTTCTTTGTATTTTCTACTATAGAAACCAGCTGATGTCATAACGATGTAGTACAAAAATCAACAAAGCTCCTTTTTCCCGCGAGGTATGTCGATTGGGTACCACTCTCCGTGATTTGGTGTGGAGGGATCGATGCACGAATTCCACTATGATCTTCTTTGTTTGTACCGCTAAAATTTAATCCTTTTCCGATAACTGATCAATGGTTAAAGGGCAAATAAATTGATAGAACGATGCTTAACAATTTCAGATATCCTACCGACTGCGCAACTCATAGAATCGGAACTTGACAAACTCTTTAAAAAATATTTTTCTAAATTACAAAATACGTCTTAACATTACAATAGGTCTCTATAGAATGTGAATCGAAGAAGAATATTTATTAACCAAGTTGATTTTATAAAAATGCTGATTCTATTATTATATTTATACAAAATAAAAATATTATCAAAATAAACCAATATGTTTTTTTTCTGAAGTGGTTTGTTATAGCAGAGCTTTATTATGGCGCTCGGCCTTTAATGGTATGTTATGTACGAGAGCTTAATATTAAATTATAAATTCTTTGTTATTTTTAACATTTTGTGAGGTTTACTAATTAAAATTTTAATTTAAAAATTATTTTATTTTTTAATCTCGCTGTGTGTGCAAAAATTGAGATAAATATGTAAACTTTTAATTTTCTCCAGCTAATTCTGGCGGATTATTTTCTGTACTTTATTTATACCATCATTGCCTCTCATAGCATGTAGTTTTTATATTTATTCCTAGATATTTTATTTTGTTTAATATGGATTTTTCTTTACAGAAGAACTCTGGCTTTTTCCAAGAAATCGGCAACAAATGCAGTACCAACGGTTTCACCAAACAGGTAAAATTTGTCCCATTTTATTGAACTTTGAGAATCTATTGTATACAGTTAATATGAACACTATTAAAACTTGTCATCTTCTGATGCTACGATTTGGTAATAAAAAGTATAATTAATACTATGCAACTAGTACATAAGGATGCAAATTTTTGTTAATGGATTAGTGACTTACTGAAAATGTATTTTTTAAAAATACTATTCTTTCCTAATCAAACTCTTATTAATTTTAGTTGTAACCGTCATTTGTTACATTTATTATTTTATCTAAATCCAAAATGTTAGTGTTCTGTTCTTTCAGTTGCAAAACCTAAAATAATTAATCAAATTCAGTACAGGGTGGCGCCTCTCAAACGACGTGGAGGCTCCAAGGAGAACGACGCTTTCTGTTGAAATGAAATTTTGTGAGCATATGTAGGCTAATTTAGAATATTTCTTAAAAATATAGTTCTACAGGGTGTTCCCAAATAAAGTTACACATTAAAGTTGTGTTTTTTTGTAATGGAACACCCTATATATTAATTGATTTTCGGATTTTAGGAGAAAAATAAGGGTGAGAACACTTTTAAAAAATGAAGAATAATTTTTAAATTTCAATAAAAACTACCTAAACTGGAATTTTCCCGGTATAGCTTCATATGAAGTTAAAATAATTATTGCACTTTAAATCAAATTAAAACTTGACCAAAAAAAAGTTCTACAGGGTGAGACAAAATTAATACTGATTTTGATACATTGGTCACATTTAAAACCAAATTACTCTTTTATTTTAAATAGAACACCCAGTATATTACTCCGATATTCAATCGGGAATTCATGTCTCTCTAAAATACTATTAAGGTTGCCTACCAATCTAACAAATATTTTTCTAGATATTTTGTTTTTTAAGATTTAGTGTCAGTAGATCTTTATTACATATTGGAAAACATCTAGGTGGCTGGTAATATACGTTTTGTTAATTTAACAATGTTACATTAGTTCAACTTTAAGAACTAGTTATAATTTTGTGTCAGTTGAAACAACTATTTTTAATTTACATTAATGATATATTCAACAAACTTGACTGTCTCTCACTGTTGATTGCCGACGCCGACGAGCCTAAAATATTCTCTCTCATATCATAATGGTTTCAGAAGTCTGTATATTTTATAGAGTATTAAAAGGCTCCCTTATTATAGTGATTAGTTCTTGAATGTTGGTGCTCAGCAGGTTTATATCGTCTGTGAATCTAAGATAGTTAAGGTGTACCCCATCGATGTTTCTTAATAACATTTTCCAGTGCCAGGGTAAATAACTTGCGAAATATGGTATCCTCTTGCTTCACACCCTTACCAAGTGATAACAATAATGGAATAATCCATTGCTGTTATAAATGACCAGGTTTCGATGCTATCGAAGGCTTTTTGGAAGTCCACAAGGGCGTAATGTAGCGATGTTGTATTTTCAGTGACCGTTTGGATGCCAAAAAAAGATGGTTCCCAAAATTTGGTCTCTTATGCTCCCTTATACCTTTTCTTATCTCTATTTTCGTTGTTTTATTTATATTGTTATATTCTACGGAATTTTACATATGTTCTTTGTTACTGTAGTTATGCTCTGTTTATTTTATCGAGAATCTCATTGAAGTCTTGGTACTAGAGTATCAGTAGCTTCTGTGTTTGGTTTTCAAGCTCGTTTTAGTTGCAGAGAATATCTTGTAGGGAATATAAATCTGGTAATTAATTTTCTCCATTCTATATTGGGATAAGTTTTTATTTTGGCACGTACTAGTCTGTGGTCACTTTATGTGAATACTCTTTAACACATTATTTTTGTATTATCTTTGTATCTTTTGTATTATCTTTGTAGATACTATTCTTGTTCGTAAGGATTAGATCTACTTGATATTTTACTTTGCAAAAAATGTAATATTTCTTAATTCCCATAAAATTTGAATGTAAAATGTAGAATATTTAGGAGGGGAGTTAATCACCGCGACCTTACAGATCTATTGTGTGTTCCCCTTTCTTGAGTTAGAACGAGTTATAACCCATCATACAGTCTCAAGGCTTTAACAAAAGCCAGTATCTCAAACGGCTCCACAGAAGCCAGCTCTCCATCTTCGACATCAGCCGTACCAAAGTTCATGGCACGAATGGTCGTCGTCTCGGCGCACTCAGTGATAAGGTGTTCTGGTGTTTCCCCATTTTCCCCATAGAATTTGCATACGCTGTTATTTCTCAGCTTCAGCCTACTGAGGTGTTCGTTGAGGAGACAGTGTCCTGTTAGAAACCCCGTCACAATCCGAAGATTGTTTTTACTTAAATCAAGGAAAACCTTTAATTTTTCTCGGTCGTAAGTTCTGAGAACTTTTTTGAGTATCTTAGACCCTTGGAGGATACCCATTCCGGATTAGTTACGGATGGAGTCTTCCAGATTTTTCAGTTCCGCTTTCAGTTGGTTCCCGTTTGGAAAACAGAACGGTTCTGGTCCAGTTAGTGGAGTGTTCGCTCCTTTCCTAGCTAGACCATTTGCTTTTTCATTGCTTTTTATCCCTAGGTAAGCGGGCACCCAGAGTAGGAGGACTTTATTTTCTTACCTAATTTCTTTCGTGCCTAATTTGTTGAGCTTCTCTAGGCATTCATTGACAAACTTCGAATTGATGGTTACTGAGTTGATCGCGTTTAGTACTGCTTGACTATCGGATAGGATGACAATTTCCTGTTTTCGAAAGTTCCTATCTAAAATAAATTGTACGCATCTTTCGATAGCGTAAATTTCTGCCTGAAGAATAGTGGGGTAGGTGCCCATTAGTTCGGAGTATTTGATTTTCGGCCCAAATACTCCTATCCCTGTTCCTGCTTTGGTTTTGGAAGCATCAGTATACCACGTTATGGTATGGCCTTTTACATGCTGAGTAAGCGTTTCTTCCTTCCCAATCCTTTTTATTACTCAATACTACAGTGAGGTGTTTGTCAAAGTTGTAAATTCTTAGTATGTCATCCACTGGGAGTTGGAGAAGTGGAATTTTCTTTTTGAGGGTGTTCCAAGCACCTGACCTGAAAATTCTCCCAGTACTGTTACCATAAAAAAAACACTTTAGGTTCCCATAAAATGTCTTGTACATAAAGTATTTTTTTATACATTTTTTTTCTAAAGTGTTTTTTATCTCTTCACATTCTATTCCTATTTCTTATCTAAACGGCATCTTTACATACATAATAGCGTTCAATTCTAAATTTAATTGTAAATAAACTCGTACTGCTATCCGAGCACTCGTGTTCTATTTACTGATAAATGTAAATTCGGCTTTACATACGAAACAACTTAGAAACAGAACAAATTTAACAGCTACTGCCATATAATTTTCACGACCCGTTAATACAAAGAAAAGCCTTTCGGGAAATAGGATAGCGGGACAAATAAGAGAAACATCGAAAACATTGGACGTGTGTCTCTACATCGAAAAGCCGCAGTAATGAAGTAATACCGTGAACAAAGTCGCAATTGTAGAGACGTGGCCGGGCAAATTGAACATTTCTTCTTTTTCCATTGGAAGAAGGAAAGAGGTTTTCCGCTTCCGATGAACTTAAGCTGGTAACAATGCCAAATAAAGCCAATGCGGCAGTGAGAGATCGTTAGTGAGCACGGTTTGTATTAATTCAGTTGATTAAATAGGTAATAGCTTTTAATATTGTAGTATAATACATTTTCAAAATTCATAATGCAATAAATATTTAAATAAATAAATTTATATTTCTTTTTAATAAACAAATTTATAATTTCTTTAATAAACAAATTTATAATTAATAATATTTCTTTCATATTTATCTGAAGGATTTCTCCAATTTTCGAGCATCATAAATATACAATTATTTTGAGAAAGAACTAGTGCTTCCTCGCACTTGTTGCTAATTCTTTTTTGGAGAATGTCTAGAAGTAGTTTGAGCACACGACTCATTAGACTGATAAGTACAGTCTAAACATTTGTCAGCATTTGATTTTTCAGGCAAAGGAATTAAGACAGATTTTAGACAGTCTGCTGGAATATGACCAGTTTCGTATACCTGATTAAACAACACAGTAAGTTTTATTCACTATATATTTGATTATATATCTGGTCCACTTGCTTATTGTTTTTGGCTTGATCTATAGCTTTTTCCACTTCAGATTTTAAAATTGATGGCCCTGTTTCTGTCTTTAAGTGTGACATGTCTTCTCTACTATCTTTAAATAAGTCTTTGATGTACCTCTCCCATTCTTCCCCTACTTCTGATTCCGATAATACATATCCTTCTTTAGTCACAAGAGTGCTGATTTTATTTTGCCTGTACAATCCTTTTTGTACAATGCCTGTACATTCCTTCAATTTTCGGTGTAGGTTGAACTCGTCTTGCTTTTGTTGCAGCTCTTCAATCTCGTTGCACTTTGTTATCATCCATTTATTTTATCATCCAAGTTCTTTAAGCTTGATTTTCATGCATCCGTTATACGTTGATACGTTGGTCCGACGGTGCTCTGATTGGTCATAGCGTTTTCGCGCCACTTTTCATCCATAAATATTTTACTTCAGCCCGTCAACGGACCCGTTGATACGATAACGGACATTTTGACACTTTTTTGTCAAATTTAATCTAACCTTAATAAAAATTTAAGTAAAATAGCAAAATCGTTATGGAAACGAAAATATAAAATGACACCAACGTATATCCGATAAACGGAGGCATGAAAATGCAATAAATTTAAAAACTGCGTTATTTTCTAACCAATCAAAGTCTTTAATATCTATCAATAAAATTAATATCGTATCAACGTATCGTCGGACAACGGATGCATGAAAATCAAGCTTTAGTTTCCTTGATTTTTCGTTTTATTTGTTGGTGAATTCTTTCATATTCTGTTTCACTTTTGATTTTGAATTTTCTTCTCTCTTTCAATAGCTCATTTATTTCATCTGTAATCCATTGTTGCCTTTCGTTGTTGCTGTGATTAGTGATTAGTGATGCCATTCTTTTTGTTGTCCC